ACACCTCTGTTGGGGTCCATCGACCAATCAGAGGCTCTCAAACGAACCGGAAGTAGAGCCCATTTAAATGTGGCACTTCCCAGAGTTCAGAGGGAGAAGAGGGGAGTTCAGAGTTCTTGTAATCCAGAATGCAGAGAGTTCGGGAGTACCTGAATGCAAACGCAGGCATTCATGGATGCTGCTAAACCAAAGAAGCTGAACCAGAGACGATTTTGGGAATTATAACTTCTGTTTGGATAACCTCGCACGACTCCAGGAGTTTCTAGCTGTTCTCACGGAGACGCTGAAAGAAGTTGAAAGGAGAGCTCTACACCGACGCTGAAGCTATCATCTGCAAGGTAAAGAGTCGATCTCAACTAGCGTACCGTTGGCCCAAGCTGGAAAAGAAGGAGCGTGTTGTTCTGGTTAAAACAGACAAATTCCCTCACACATCTCTCTGTAGACAAACTTCACTTTCCATCTTTAAACTCTCCTTTCTGCTAGAAAATTAATCCAGATGTTTTCAGAAATGTCTGTGGTGAAGCAACGGAAAATCATGGCCGTATGGTTTTCCTGGTTGTAAAGCTGATTAATTATGTTGTTGTTTTCATATTCTGCCAAATTAATGTAAATGTGTGATGTGTTAAACTTGATTCTGTTAATAAATGACCCACTCGCTTGGTGAGTCAAAGATAATTAACGTCTCACGTCCACATTTCTGTTAAATTCAAAGCACGACATCATCCAGTCCAGAAAGATGAGTGAACCCGTTTAATGTATGAATATATCTCAGGATATGTCATACTACATCTACTCTCTGCATTCTGAATTCCAAAACTCTGAACTCCCCTCTTCTCCCTCTGAACTCTGGGAAGTGCCACATTTAAATGGGCTCTACTTCCGGTTCGTTTGAGAGCCTCTGATTGGTCGATGGACCCCAACAGAGGTGTGGTTTGTGATGTAAGGTGTTATGGAAAGTCAAGGATTGTTTAAGAACAGACAGAAAGATATCATGGAAAAACCAGACTTCGTGGCGTCGCTCCACCAAGTATCTTGCTGTAAAAGTTAAACATGACATTTCTTTTCAGTAAACTTTTAGTTGACCGAAACCTGAACTTTGACACACACTTACAAACTTGCTCACTTCAAGCAGACGATCAAGAAATTGAATCATTACTCTGTAACGTACTCTAACTTGATTTCACTTTGAATTGAGGATTAAAAATCATTACACTGTTTTAGTAAATAATAAATGAGTAGTTCACTTCAACATGTAAACATTGTTTGAACTAACACAATTTGATTATCAAAACATTTGTAAAATAGTAATGATCATAGAGAATTGTCTTTTCCACTTGATTAATTCAAGAAAGAAAGTCTCAGGATGGATCAAACTATTTCTGGATTCAAATCAATGAAATGACAGTTTCTGTCCATCTGGTCAGTTTTGACATCAGGCCTAGTCCACTACATCAGACAGAGCAAACACACCTAACTCCCACTCCCCCACCCCACTTGAACTTAGGAGGATCTGTGGTGGAGGTGGTCTCTAGCTACAAGTACTTGGGTGTGCACATGAATGACAACCTCAGCTGGAGCAACAACACTTCCAGCCTGATCAAGAAAGCACATCAGAGACTCTACTTTCTCAGATGGCTGAGACGAGCTGGACTGAGAAGCTCAGTCCTCTCCTCCTTCTACAGGTGTGCAGTGGAGAGCATCCTGTGCATCAGCAATGTGTGGTATGGAGGCTGCACGACTGCAGACAGAAAAGCTGCAGAGAGTGGTGAAGGCTGCACAGAAGTCTGTTGGAGTCAGCCTCTCCACCATCACAGACATCTACACCTCCAGATGCAGGAAGCGGGCCACTTGTATCATGAAGGACCAAACTCACCCAGCACACACACTTTTTGCCCCGCTCCCCTCAGGCAGGAGGTTGAGGAGCATTAAGTGCAGAACCACTAGACTGAAGAACAGCTTCTACCTTGAAGCTGTTAGACTCATGAATCTCTAACCAGAATGATCACTGTGGGGGAAAAAATACTGTAATGCCAATTTGATTGGTGATATGTGCTGCTGATTATCCATGCTGCTGACCTAATGCTGCTGATTATTTCATGCTGCTGTATTCATTTGTACCCATCTGCTCACACAGACTCTTGTTCATGCTGCTGCTGTTACGCCATATTGTTTTGCATTACTGGTGTTTAGTGTACATCTTAGATCTTTTAGCGTGCCGTTTGGCATTCGTTTAGCATATATCTTGGATCCTTATTTACAGTTTCTTTTTCAGTGTCAGCAGGACATTTAGAAATTCTTTCTCAGATGCACAGAGATAACGATTCTGTTAGAAACACAGCTGGTCAGATGAACATCAGAACTTTCTGATTTTACAGTTCAAGCTATCAAACAGCTGATGAGCAAAGTTTTGAAGGAAACAAAGGTCGCCTGCTTATTGCTGGTGTTTAGAGATAGATTTTTTCTGAAGGCCTCTTGAAAAAATAAAGATTAGATTTCCACTAGCTATCAAAAACAGTAGAAGTATTTTGCAAAGCATCAAGCTTAAACTTAAAATAGAAGAAGTGTGAATTAATGAACATTCATGATAGCTCTCAATCATCTTTATGCAACATACGGTCTAACTGGAGATTCGATACCCGTGAAACTGGAAGCAGTTGTGTCAAACTCATGTTTTACTTATGTTCAAGGGTATTGGACTGCAGTGTGGGGGGCAGGCATTGCTTACATGGCCCACTGCAGGGTCCTGGATAAACAGGCCTCAAAATGCCAGGAATGACACTGATGTCCCCCGTCCCTAAGGGATTTGAACAGTGAATGTTTGTAGTTTTTTGGACATGAGTGTTTTTTCCTCTGGACTGAAACTGAACAGGAAATGAGAGTAAACATGAATGTTTTTTGATGTAAGACATTCAAGCATGGAGAAGTTACACTGTAAGAAGAAAAGAGGTAGTTTTTTTTTTGTTTGTTTGTTTGTTTTAGTTTGTTTGTATAGTTTTTTTGTTTGTCCGAGGCAGTACAAAGTGACAAATTCTGGCAAGTGGAGAGAGCAATTTTATCCAACACCAGGTACAAGGGTGGAGCCAATGGTGTCTTTAGCCACCTTAGATTAACTTTCAGCCACCCCAGTCATTTGAGCAATATAAAAACTTCAAAGCATAGTTTCCTCAAATGATAGGGATGGTTGGTTTACACACACTGTTGTATGGCAGGCCCTTGTGCATTTAAAGTTCAGCTCCAGCCTGGATCTGGACCACACAGTGATTTATTTTTAACAAAAGAGCTGATTTTAATTTAACTTAATTTAATTTTTATTTCTTTTATATATATATATATATATATACCTAATGGAAAAGAGTAGCAATGGATGTTATTTCAATTCTTACTGGATTTTCTTTTCCTTATGAGCAGATACACAGAATGTGAAGAACTGTAATTGAACCAGGGAAGGAAGACTCTGCTCCATTTTCCTGTCTGCCCGCGCTGCACCATGACTAGTGTCAAACTCAACAGAGAGCGCAGAGAAAGACAGAACCAGAAAAACCCAGATCCATGGGCCCAGAGGAAGGAGATAAACAAGGACTCACTTTTCCACCTCTCATTGTACCAGAGGGGGGGGGGGGGGGGGGGGACAGAGACATTCCTAACTATGCCTAAAAGTCAGGGGTCAGAAGACCCTGCCCGGGTGTTCAGATCATGGACGGAAAGCCTCCAGAAATGCCTCCCTCCCCCACATCGCCACAGCTGTTCACAGTTTCCTGTGTTGAAGTTGGAGAAGCTCGGCTCACGGACCTCAGGAGCCACGCCCTGCATGCTGACCTCAACACAATGCAGAGAGAGGGCAGTCATACAAACCTCAAGCCAAGTGCCCATGATCCAGATTATGGGTTCTGAAGGGCCAGCTCCAGCAGTAGCAGAGAATGGGAAAAGTTTGCAATTGCCTTCATCCCCACCTGGCCAGAACTAAGACTCCGTACTGGGACTGTAGGACTCCTGTGTGCTGGATGAAAGGAGTTTCTTCCCCACAAAATGAACATGTCAAAAGTCACATTTTGCAAACAAGGGAAACCTTCAGATGCACAGAAACACACATGCAGACAACAGCTTTTTTGCTCCGATAGCAGCAGTTAACTCAACCTGCATCGGATTGGGTGAGCAAGGCTGGAAGAATTTTCGGAGACATTCTAGACACACACATCTCAGCAAAGACAAAAAAAAAAGGTCCAGAAGCGCCAGGGCTTCGAGGCCGAATTGTCGACCAATTGTCGAAAGCCGCATCAATGCTTTGAAGAAGTCAAGTCAAGAGCTGCTAGACAGGAAACACTAGTCCTCTACCGAGGTGTCTGCTCACATGGAGGAGGTTGGCTCACAGTTGAAGAAGCTGCTGGAGGCCAACCAGCAGCAGCAGTTCAACAGGAACGTCAAGGACGTCGAGCTATAGCACTACAAAGCGGAGGGACATCTGGTCTTCGATGACTTTGGTAAAGACCTGACGAGCGTCCAGAACCTGCAGAAGAAGCAGGCCCTGCAGGCCGAGATCTTGGGTCACAAACCTTGAATCAAGACTGTCATCCAGAAAGGAGAGACCATGATGGAGGAAGGTCCTCACAATAAATGTTTCCTGTGTGAGTCTCCAAACCACTGGAAAGGAGTGTCCTAACAGCCAGAATCACCGGAGAGAAGGACAACGAGCTGACATCACCAGACAACCACGACCATGCTCGACCTAAGGTCAAGGAGGGGTACGCACTGAGGGGAGCAGACAGTCACACAGAAAACCAGCTGATTTTAGAACAGAGAAGTAAACATGCACACACACATCTTATGTGAAAAATAATTCAAAGGTTTTGGACCTGCAATTACTGCTAATTTGTCTGGTCGGATAGGGTTTGGAAATTATGCTCTGGGCTGGGGCCAGGTCGGATCTGATTTTTTTGGGCCTGAATGTGACTCTACCCTGTAGTCCCGAACAGTTCAGGTAACGACCTCTTGACACTTTTCACTCACTGCCAACAGAAGGACATTGCCACCTGAAAAGTCTGCAGGGCACTGCAGACTTCGGGCATGAGAACTTTGCCACGTTTAAATGGAACTAAGGGCCAAGGAGGAGAGTTGAGCCAGATGTGGTCTGTTCCAGGTCTGACGGGTGACATTGCCTGCAGGCCGAGGGAACTCTGTGGGACTAGCTGACCTCTTGCAATCGCCTGGCTGAGGCTGAAACCTCTCATACTGCAGAAAGGCAACATGGTCAGGACCTTGGAAAGATAAGACAAAGACAGCAAAAAGGATGCGGTGAGGAGGTCAAATTCGGCTGGGGGTGATGAAATTAATGTTTGTTTGTTTTTTCTTTTTTGATATGAATGGAACTAGACCCAGGCCCCCCACATGGAAAAACCTTGGAACTTGAGTAGATCATAAACAAGCCGGGCTAATTAACATGCTGATATGTTGTTCATGTTTTAATCTGATCTGCAGCATGTACATATTATCTGTTTGTGTTTTGGGGAGGCACATGGAGACAGATTGTTATAATTTTGCTTGTTTCTTATCAACTGGGGATTACAATGTTCATTTGGAGGTTAAGAATTCTAAAATATTAGATCAACAGCCAACAGAATACCTTTTTAGTTTTAGGAAGCTACATTATTTTCAGAGATGAAATAACAATGACATGGTTAAGTAAACAGGGTCTTAACTCTTGGCTTTTTTCTTTTTCTTTTTTATTTGAATTTATATGAATGTTTTCTTTTTAAAAATTTCAGTGTGAAGGAGTGGACCGGTTTACATTTTCACAGAAGACAGGCTCTAGAGAAATGTGGATATCCTAACTAGGCCTTCCTGAAAGCAGAGAAGAAACCCAAACAGGACTCCAGTCAGCCATCAGTTGAAAAGGAGGAACCCAGACCAGTGGTCATTCCATGTGTTGCTGGAGTTTCAGAGACACTGAGATGTTCATTTTCTAAACATAGCATCCCAGTGGCTTTCAAACACCAAAATACATTATGGCAAACTGGTTCATCCCAAAGATCCAGTCCCCTGGCACAGAGTAATATTGTATATGCCGTTCATTGCCAGGAGGACTGTGAACAGTCTTACATCGAGGAAACTAAACAGCCACTGGTCAAAACGATGAACCAGCAAAGGAGATCAACATCATCATGCCAGGACTCTGCGGTCTGCACTCATCTCCAGGCCAGCGGTCACTCTTTCAGGGATGAAGATGGTCACATCCTTTATAATGAGAAATGTTGGGTTGAGAGAGGAGTGAAGGAAGCCATATTTGTGTAGAAACCCCATCCCTCACAGACAGGGGTGGAGGTCTTCATGTTTTTCAAATATCACCCTCTTACAATATTGTTGGTTTTTTTGTTTGTTTGTTTTTTTTAGCATGGATGTTTTAAAATCAGATTCCTTAGTAACGATTTAATGTGTAATCGAGAGGGAGGAATGTTGAGACAAATGTATATTATTTGCACTCATCGTGATCAATCATTCTCCTGCTGGAACATTTTGTAACGTCCTTCTGCTCCTGTTGAGATGTGTGATATTAACAGTCCCATGTAATCACTCCGACTGTGACAATCAGTGAGGAACAGAAAGAACTGGGACATTGATCTGATAGAGTTGATGTGATATGTTGATGTGGCTCAGGCAGTCCTTGACTCAGATCCACTCCTTGTCTGCAAGCGGACCTTTTGATGGCAGCTCAGAACATGGAGGGGAGGAGCTGAGGGCTGGACAGGAAGATTATTCTAAAACTGATTTGTTCGGTCCAGATTTGAGAGCAGGCCAGGTGTTTCACATGAATGAGAACACTAATAAGAGTGTAATCTTGTATATTGCATGTCCTGTGAACTACTGCACTGTTCTCCAAAAGCTTTGAAAGTAAATCTGGTGATATACACCTTAGTCTGTTTTGAGAATCACCTTTTTTCCATGATACAGACATCCACCAGATAAAGCATCTCTATTGTTTCCTATTAAATATAGAGTTTATTTATTTATTGTCACATTTTTGTTAAGCTTGGGATGTTTTGGTGCCTCATAAATATAATAAATCGAAAGTTATTTGACATGTAGTTTCAATTTTCAAACTTTTACATGAGCTAAAAAAACTGCTCTTGACCATTCCCAACCTAGATTGGTTATGAAATGAGATTGCACTGTTACAGAATTGGCTTCAAAACTCTGAAGTAAGTAACTTCCTTTATAAGGTGTGAACAATTTAAGACCTTTAAAACTGAATATTTGTTCTCTTTTGGTTTTATTCTTATTTAGTAAGTTCAGAAGTAACATGTTTTTGTTTAATTAACGTTTACTTGTGTATATATATTTTTCATTGTCTCTTTTTCTACTAGTGCATGATTTTAATACTCTTGTGGCTATTGTTTTTGCATCTCATTCTTGTGAACAGCATTTTGATTTGACTGAAACTGGTTTTTATGCGGCTTTATAATTTAATATCAATTACATTTAATTTTCAGATATTATTTGCAAAGCGTGTTATTAAGAAAACATGTGTATTTAGACTTTTTCTTATGTAATAAGTGCTATTAGTGGATGTATATCACCTAATAGTATTAAATACTTAGCACTGATAGTCTTCCTCCTCTGCTGTGATTTATTTATTTATAACTTGTTGGAGCTCAAATCTAAATGCTTTTAATATCTGAAGAGGATAGTTCTCTGTCAAAATATAATAATAATAATAATAATAATAATAATAATGTCTCCTTCTTGAAAATTAGATCTCAACAATATAAATGGGGTTTTAATCTAGTTAAATAAAGAAAATGGATAGTGATTGTTTGTTTGCTTAATTTAATAAATAAGCATCAACGTTCTCCTTTGTTAGCTAGGCTAATTGTAATGCTAAGGGATCTTTACCAGTAGCTAAAAGTTTGATTTAGACTGGTGCTTGGTACATATGTAACATTTCAGTTATGTAAAAATAATTGGAACCCTTCGAAACATTTAGCTTTTTTATTAAAAATATTTTCAAGCTTCAAAACAGATGGATTAACTGAACCTACAAATGACACTGTATATACCCTTAATTGCAGGTTTCCTGTCCATCACAGGGACACTTAAAGACAAACGAGACAAACAACCATTCACTCTCTCACTCTCACCTAGGGACAATTTAGAGTTACCAATCAGCCTAACATGCATGTTCTTGGTCTTTGGGAGGAAACATGAGTATCTAGAGAAAACCTGTACAAACTCCACTCAGAAAGGCCCTTGGCCGGGATTGAAACCAGCTACCTGCTCGCTGAGAGTCGACAGCTCTATGAACTGTGCCACCATGCTGCCCTGCCTAAGAATCATTCAGAATATATTACATATTCATTTGTTTGGTGTTCAGACTGACGTTAGCAACGACTTAGCGGAGTTAGAGATAAACTAAACCATTTTCAAATCACACAATTCAACACGTCTCACTTACAGAATAAACTGTGTATTGACAATTCCTTGCTACAAATGTGCGGTCAGTTATTCTCCATCTTGCAAACTTGCACATGGACAGCTATGATAAACGCAACAGAGATGCAGTAATTGTCAATACAGTTTTTATAGTTAAACTGAAGCTTAGCACTTTCTTAGTTTTGTTTTCATTTATGTTCTTTGGTGGGATCATTCTTGTGTACACATTTTAGTTTTCAAGTGCATGGTTGGGTTTCTGTAACCTCAGCCTCCTGGCTGGAGGATGCACACACATCTACGTAATCATACCCAACAGATTGTCACACACAGAATTTATAGAATATACTGTAGCATTAAATAATGAGTCACATCAAGCCAGCAGACTGCTGTGAGAAGACACAGTTTCATTAAGTAGGAAACAGTTATTAATAACATACTTGTGTTTTTTCTGCTCTCAAAGTACAGCTCTTAAGACACCCTGCTTGCACCATTGTTGCTTGTCTTTGCTTTTTTAAAGCAAACCACTAGACATCTGTGTTGTACTAGATTTTTCAAAAATATAGTTGAATAAAATCAGGGCCGGCAATGCTTGTGTTTTTAGGAGGACATATTTGCAATTTTAGTGCTCCCGACACAGAAACTGAAATTCAGCTGTGTGACGGTTCATGCTCAACGATGCATCAATTTATCATACTCTCAGTTTCCGTACACTACAAATAGAAGACAAAGCACAAGAAAATGTATATGGTCCTGTTTCAAAACTAATGTCTAAAGCAGGGGTCACCAACATGGTGTCCACTGGCACCTGGTCACCCACAGGGACCTCCTGTGTCGCCCAGAGGGCATGTTCTAAAAATAGGGGCGCGCCACCTAAAAAGCGTAATTAATTATGTTTTTAAATTTAAGACATAACTGTTGCAATAATGTAGATTTGAAATGCAAATAATTAATAAAAACTTTAAAAAGAAATAGTTTTAGTATTCAGTTTAGCAATCTTGTCTGGGGTCAAAGTTCAGAATCATGCTAGAGCACACATCTCTGCAGTGGTGCTGCTATAAGCTAGTTTGCCTCAGAGAGGGGAAAATGGCAGAAAAACGTAAGAAAACTTTCACAGTAATTGGGAGTAAGAGGTATTTTTATAGTTGTGAAAGACAAGTGTGTCTGTGTCTCATTAATGGGCTGTGGCAACAGCAAAACAAGTGGAACGACACTTGACCAGCTAACATGTTAGCTTCAATGCTAACTAACCCCTGGTGGTTCACATCAGGCAGTAGAATGTCAGAGTTAAAGGCAGTTTTGAGCAAACGGCAGATGTTTTTAATGTGGGGGTCTTGGAAAAAAAGCAATGATGAAATATTTGAAAAATAATTTATTTTAAAAGAGTAAAAGATGTGATGATTAGTTAAAAGGCTGCAGATTTGAGGATCAGTACTAATGTGACCTGATTCATTTAAAAATGTTAGCTTTTTTTTTTGATAATTTGATGTGCTAGTAGTTCAGAGTCATCCCCAATGCATGTGCCAAGAGCTAACAGATGTAGACAGATGGCGCAAGATTAATGTGTAGTATCAGGCAGAAATGGTGCTGGGTAAGGTCCTAATATTAAACCACACAGGCACTGACAGTCATAAACACTCATCAGCAGCCAGGGCTTAATTTGAGCCGGATCCTGCCAGAACAGGATCCGGGAACTCTTTTGTTTTGACAGGGTACGTTCCGGTAACTGTTTGCTTAGGTCCGGTAACTCTCAGGCTTACTAATAATAAAGTTACGAACAAGTATGACTGCCTTGAACAAATAAAACTTATATTGGATATGTGAACTGAAAATA